ATGTCTATATGTTCGAGTTCGAAACGCGTTCGCTGCGAACGCCTTTTACGTTCTTTTGAAGGACACGAACCTTCGTGGCAGTACTTTTTAACGTTTAATTGCCTGCATATACAAAATAAGGGCAGTCGGACCTCTTGCAGTTTTATAAAATGTTGAACGGTTTATCCATGGACAGCGCGCGCATGTAAAATAATGGCCGCCCGTTTTTACCATGTAATAATCCCTTTTTGCTTTATTTGAACTTAATATTTAATTGTAAAAGTGTTATGTATAGGCCTACTGTATGTTTTATCTCCCTAGTACAGTATAAGTTTGAACAGGACCATATGAAAAACAGGCTATAACAACCACCTGGTATGTTTTTAATCCTCTATAAATATGTTTAAAATAAATTTAAAACAAATTATAAATTCAAGAAAGGATCATCGACGACGCAATCGCACTGTGAAGAATGTCCATTTTAAGGAATACATCGTGTTAAAGGGACAACAGTTGATTGAATGTCATTTTTTCTATAGTTTTGGTGACTCTAATAGTAACCCCATGGTATAGAGTATTATTATAGGTTAATCTCCGGGTGGGTCACTATTAGACGAGGGATCACTAATAGAGTAATAGGTTATTATTAGAAAGTTTACGTACTAACAGTACTTAGGCCTATGCTACGCTTTTTCGAAATTCAATTCAATTCATAATACATTACAGTAAGTAATAAAAGAATAATTGTTCACATGTGTATTGTCTTTATTTAATTTAAAGATTATATAATCTTTAAATTAATACGAATCTAGTAATAAGATGATATATAACAGCTAAATTTGCACATTGTACTCTGTCTAATTAAATTTCACTCAATTTACAGAATGGAGTCAAACTTTTTAATTAAATACAGCAACTTGATAAAGAGATGATTTTTAAAATATATAATCAACAAAAATATTTATAGCTTAATCATAAATTTGATCATTATATAATAAATTATTCTTTTTCTGCCTCTTACACTCTGCTCAATTTTTTGTCATTTACAATGTAATATACGGTTTGATGATGAAGGCTCGAATTCAGATCCAATGTAAATGTACATTCAACTCAATTGGAAACAAACATGAAGGTACAGAGCAGGTGGCGCTAGTACAATATAAGTTCCTCTCCTCTATTACCTGGTCTCAAACTGTACTAATGGTAAATGTTCTGGTTTCCTTTCGGGAATGGTAGACGGAAAATCACAGAGGTCATTCATCAATATCTATCGGGTGGATTTTCTGAAAACATGAAAACTTTGCACTGATCTTTTGTCTTATCGATTTCTGATAGAAGATGTAAACAAGTGGGTTTATCATAGGCGTGGAACGAAGCATCAGGGAAGCGATGTAATCAGCGACTCGAGACTGCCAAATATATGCTCGGTTACATATGATTCGCACCTAAGTAGAAATATAAAACCGAAACCATTACTCATGTATTTTCACAGCAATTCATTATGCTTTATGTCTCATGTTCTCAATTTGATAAAACAAAAATGTACGATAATTTTGAAAAATTGCAAAAATATAACTTTTGAAGTAATGTAAGTTATCAAGAGTCAATGGAATGAAAAGTCAAATTTCTTACATTACATAATAAATCATAATTTATAAAGGAGAAAATATTAGAGTATACATGCTGGGAAGCGTTTTTAGACATGGGTGAAGAAAAAAATCCAAACAAGATAAGCAGCAGAGTATTTTTGCATTTTCCGTAACCAACTTGGGTCTTTTACACTATAAAAAATAATCAATTCAAAACAAAACCAGCACTCTGACTACATGTTTCCTGATCAATAATATGCATCCTGCACGCAAGTGATAACGCAACCTACACTGTTTTGACCTTGTTATCATGGAAACGCAATTCAAGTGATGAATCAAACACCAAAAAATGCGAACAAATTATAATAATGTAATGACAACGAGGATGATAATGATAGCAATATTACTTATGATGATGATGATGATGATGATGATGATGATGATGATGATGATGATGATGATGGTGATGATGATGATGGTAATGATGACGATGATGATGATTATGATGATGATGACGACGACGATATATGACGACGATGATGATGATCATCATCATAATGATAAGGATAATGATGATGATATTGATGATGATAAACTACAATGATAATGATGATGATGATAAACTACAATGATAATGATGATGATGATAATGTATAATAATACGAGGCTAATAATAATAATAATAATGTTAAGATGGTGAAGACAAATAAAAAGATGAAGATGAAGAAGAAAGCATAATAAATGACAATTCATAGTGACGGTATCCACCACTAGAATGCATGCTGCTCCTGGCACTTTGTGCAATAACAATAACGATACCAATAATACCAATAAATAATACTGACAAAATAATAATAAAAGTGACAATAAGTTGACTACCGTAAGAAATGTTCAGCGAAAACTGTCCTACTTTGTAATGCCTGGTTAGTATATTATCCCACAGCGACAACTTTTAAATGTTAATACTATGTGATGAATGTGAATCGTTTTTCTCTTAATGAGCGTGATTTTGGCGCGTAATTAATTGACATACACAATGCTTTGAGTTATAACGCACCCCTTTCAAGTATGAACATGCACAGAAATGCCATTGATTTTTACTCTGGGTTAGTGATATTGGCGCTGAATAAGTTATTTAAGTTTTATTTATTATCTCATGTTACTTTAGAATAAAAATATATTTACAATGTAGGCCTATATGTTTTCTCTATTGCGTAACAAAAATTTATTAGAAGAAATCGATTTTTGATTTGTGCAACTCAAATGCCAACAAATAGGATCATCTGCCAACTGCCGTTTTCAGGAAATAATGCCAATACATTGAGCGAATCTTTATCTACAAACAAAAATCATTAACACATTATGTTGGATATCGAATTTGAATATCAGATTATTAATTAGCAAAAATGTGTCCTATACACTTATGCTTGTAGCTCAGAACGTGCCTTAAAAACAAGTTGCAAAAAAGGTAAGATACATTTATTTTTGTGAAATTACTTAATATTAAAGTATATTCTTCTGTTATATTTAGGCCTGTGGCATCTTTCTTTGCTTATAAAATGCACGCTATCACTCCACATTGTACTCATTACCTACGGCAAATGTAAGCCACTGCACAGGCCCAAACAGAAACTTAATCCTTACATTCACATAACAAACAAATGAATAAAGGATAAAACGGAGGAAACTATAAGAAAACAGAGTATGAGAACAGGTACGGTAAGTCTTTAAGGAAGACTTACCAGGCTACAAGTGAATGAGCTCAAAACAATTATTCTCAATGTTATAGATTTTAAAGAGGCAATTGTCTTGAGGCATCAGTGACAACATCAAATTTAGTTTCTCAATATTTACCGTATATGATCGTACATAACTACGTCTTCGTAATAATCATTCCCCAGATTTTTAAATAACATGGAAACAAACATAGCCTGTCTTATTATAATATTACAGCATTCTATTTTGAAGACTATTTACATTGTACTTGAAATAGAGATTGAATATATAGCATAATTTGCTACAAGAACTTCTTAAATCAATACCTTCTTTGTACTAAAGAGGATAGCCATGGAGCTTAAATGAATGAAATCGCCTCTGAGTAAAAGAAAGACAATTATCAAGATGTGTTAAAAGAGGGTTGAACATTAGCATATCAAGGAACAGAAAAGAATTAATTTATTTCACTTGCAAAGCAAACAAAAGACCCTGCTTAACACATGACCCTGCTTTTAAAAGAAAGAAAGTCTTTCTACTTTCTACAGAAATATAAAACAGAGATGCCCAGAGAAATTAAAGTCAATGGACACACATAAAAAAAGAAAACATAAAACGATTTAAAATTCAATACCACTACCGGTACTGCAAGTGAAAACACTACCGTACTTATCAATAGGAAGACTAAGCACAAATTACTGTTAGGTGTCTTATACGTTTCTTGTTTACTTTATTTTCACATTCATTACATTACATTAAAGTCAATTCGCTATTTTCAGCCAACAAAACATAGTTAAATGAAGTTTTACAATTAAAGTAACAAAGTGTTATCGCTGTTTCAATCGATTATATCTTAGTAAATATGTCATATGCGGTAGACAAAACCAAATCATATATCATGTAGGAACATTTGATGAAGGCCTGTAAATTGTGAGTTACAATGAATGATAATGATGATGGTAGAAGAATAAGGGAGAGAAAAACAACGTACCTGGTACGGTATACTTGTGATGGCGAGAACACACGTTATGGCTACCAACATATAGCTGAAATTAGCATGAATTCCTTTTACCATATCTGTTTGTTTGAGATACCCTTCTAAATTTCTGGGGCAACAAGATATTAGACGCTCACGAAGTATTTTTAAACAGTTTATAACGGTTGCATTGCAAACAGTTAAGATAATAAGCATCATTACAAGCTCACATAATGTCCAACCATCGTATAATACTCGAATATTAGAAGCTTCTTTGGAAAAATTATATATAGTAAGTTTATCATATATATCCATATCATACATCAATCTAATAACTGAAAATAAAAAAGAGTAGATGGAACAGATTATGATCAGTTTAATTAAGCGAGTATATGAGTTGTATTTGTCGTAGAAAAATGGTGTTTGTATTGCTAGAAAACGCTCAATACTTGCAGAGACAACAAGAAGATGCGACATTCGCTCAAAAAACGCATCTATGAAGAGAATATATCGGAATACTTGTAAATCTTTTGAAGAACGAGTTGAGAATTGCCAAATTAACCATCCGATACCACTGAATAATACCCAACAACAGTCACAAACCGCTAAAGCTAACGCCATTACCATCGGTGTTTTCGAATTCACTGTGTATCTGAAAAGTTGTCTGCACAAAAGCACTATCCAAATTGTGTTGCTCAAGAAGCCAACACAAAATATCGTTGGAGTTACTACAGAGTGTAAAACCACCAAGAAATCGCTCGTTGAATCGTTGCTAGTCATGTCTGTACGTCCATAAGGCACAGACTGAACTGTGCATGGAAATGCCTAAAATAACTGAATCCACAGGTCTATCTGTGTTAACTAATTTGCACGAAACGAACTGAGCCAATTAGCTCACGTCGTTTTTTCTCTGATTATTTCTTAACAAGCTCAACTTCAAACCAATTTTCTCTCACGTACTGCAAGTGATAATATTTTGCACTCTCCATTGGACGATGTTTTCATTAAACTGCGCGTTGATAATCAATTCATTCATAACATTAACTTCCGTATTTGGAGTATTTTCGATTATCGCCCATCTAGATGTGTATAAGAGACTACATATATATCATAATAATAGTGAACATTTATAATGCGCCAGTATCCATCAAAGATGCTCATGGCGCAAAAGAGAGAGAGTTGTTAACAGTTTGTAATCTTAACTACGAAAAAAAAAATTAATAATAGTAACCGTATCCCTGGTGGGGGAGGCTTCATGAGTGCCTTTGCTTGCCCAAGGTAGATATTCCTAATTAGCAACTCCTAAGACTAACGGAGGGATGGAACGTCTCACGTTTCCACTTATGGGCTGCCGCTTAAAGGGGGTCCCACACCACTGCCCTTACAAGAGTTGCCTAAACTTAATCTATGCCTAAAAGTACAATATTGAAAAAAAAATTAAACAGGTTATTTAGTGTGTAGGCCTAATTATCGTAAGGATGATGTGAACAAAAACGTCTTAAGCTGATTCTTATATATGCTGAGGGAAGTACTCTGTTTAATGTTATCCGGTATAGCACCATTATATGCTATAGCAGATTGTCTGATAATTATGCTATTGATATTGATATTGGTCTGATATAGCTGGTTGTAGCAGTTTCAAATCCTAAATATCACTATAGCATTGATATTTAAAAATATAGCACTTTAACTGCTACTTGCTTTGCAATATGTTTATGTAAACTGCTATATAAATTGATACATGTATTTCATGTATCATTTAACTGCTACAATCAATGATATTTGCAGATGTATATCAGCTATTTTTAAACTGATATATATATTATATAATATTGGTCTGATATAGCTGGTTGTAGCAGTTTCAAGTCCTAAATATCAATATTATAGCACTTTAACTGATACTTGCTTTGCAATATGTTTATGTAAATGCTATATAAATTGATACATGTATCATTTAACTGCTACAATCAATGATATTTGCAGCTGTATAGCAGCTATTTTTAAACTGATATATATGATATAATATTGGTCTGATATAGCTGGTTGTAGCAGTTTCAAGTCCTAAATATCACTATTATAGCATTGATATTTAAAAATATAGCACTTTAACTGATACTTGCTTTGCAATATGTTTGTGTAACTGCATAGGCGTGAAACTGCAGATTGTGTCTTCGAACTATATCACCCAAGTAAATTGAAAAAATGAGAGGACCAAGCACGCTTCCTTGTGGCAAGGCTCCAAACAATAATCGACAAGGTGCAGAATAATTTCATTGATTTTTACGCACTGTGTTCTATCTGAAATGTAAGATATAAACCATTTTAGTATGGTTCCGTCAAACCCAACTTCTCGGAGTCTATTTATTAAAATGCAGTGGTCCACCGTATTCAAGGCGGCAGACAAGTCCAAGAGAACAAGGGCGACAGTTTACCTTGATCCATGGCTATGTCATTTTGTACCTTTGAAAGTGCAGTCTTGACACCATGGTGGACGCGATATGCGGAATTAAACTCATCAAATATTCTGTTACTTTCTATGAATGTCAGTATTCTAGCAATAACAATACGTTCAGTAATCTTAGACAAGAATAGTAGGTGAGATATTGGACGATTATTACTTAGGACATCCGACTCGAGACTCTTCTTTTTTAGGAGAGGGTGAATTTGAGCAGATTTTATGAAGGAAATGTCCCTGACGTTAAGGACTGATTAATTATGTGTGTAAGGGCAATAACATCACTGCATTCCTTCAGAAAAGCAATAGGTAACGGATCAAGATCGCAACTCTTTCTAGGAGCACACATAATAATTTCTTGACTTCATCCTCTAAAACAGGCTAAAAAATTGTCAACTTAACATCACTGTTGGCGGCATTCATCACATTTTGTATATTACAGGTATGCTTAGGAAAAGAATCTCGTATCGTGCGGATTTTATCTTCAAAGAAAATTTCTCTGCAAGTTTCTCGTCGGAGTCACATTGAGGTAATGATGTGGATTTTTTGCGATGAAGGAGTTTATCAATCACACGAAATAGTTGTTTTTGGTCTTTACCACAATTAACAATTAATGTCGAATAGTAAGATATTCATTAGATTTGAATCATCAAGTTGACATTATCATGTTGTGTGCAATATCGCACCATCGCACACTATCAACTTCAAGCCTAGATTTTCGCCAATCCGTTCTAAACTTCGACGACCATGCTTAGCCTCAGTTATCCATTGGTTCCGTTCTAAACTTCGACGTCCATGCTTAGCCTCAGTTATCCATTGGTTGTAGGACCTACCAAGTTGTATTTGGTCTAATAGTAGCCAAGCGTGTTTTTGGAGGTGCATGAAAGTCAAGAATAGAGGACAGACAGTGTATATAATTTTGCAAAAAACATAGATATTCTTTATCGTCTGTCTTTATATTTACCCTTACATATTCTCTGTAATATTTATTGTTCTCTTATTCTTCCGTTTATTAGCTATTGCAATATTGTGTGGGCCAATAACTACCCTTCAAACCTTAATAAAATGTATCTTCTTCAAAAGAAAGCTATCCGCCTTATTTCTGGTGCGCCACGTTTAGCCCATACACATTGTTTATTTTCTGATCTCAATCTTTTAACTATTCACGACATCAACAAACTCCAGCAATGTATATTTTTTTATGATTATATACATTCTAACCTTCCCTCAAATTGTTCCTGTAATTTTAAACCTAACTCTGAAATACATTCTTACAATACTAGGGCTTCACATGAACTTCATTTACCTCAACCCAAACTCACTCAAATGCAACACAATATCCGTTACAGCGGTATTAAATTATATAACAATCTTCCTAACAATATAACACTGTCCCCCACAAGTGAACTTTTCTCATACAAATTAAAAAAATACCTTATTTCAAATTATAGTTAATGTAATACTTAGTCAGTCGAGTTTCTTCTTTTTTTTTTATCGATTTATTTTTTACATCAATTAATTGTGCTTTCTCTATGTTTATATATCTTTTTAGTTCTTCTTAATTATATATTTACTTATTACTTACTATAATATATTATCTGGCTAGCCCATCACAAGTTTTAAATGGAATTTGTTTCCAATTAAGTTTACTTACAAGGCACATGCCTCTTTCAATTTAAATTATATTTACTAAAATAGTGTATATACATTTAATACCTTAGATATTCGTTTATAATTATATATTTTTATTGTTATATTGTGAAAGAAATAAATGTTGATTTGATTTGATTTTGATTTGATTATTACATACTTCAGTGTTTATATTTTTAATATTCCTGGTATTTAACTTTTTTTGTTTTCTTGGACGCTGTAGTGCAAGAGTGCAGGCTATAGCATTGTGGTCTGAGAGACCATCCTCAACCGACGTATTCAACACAACTTGATCATCAGCACAACGCGTTATCAAAAGATCTAAAGTGTGGCCGTGAGTATGTGTAATAATAATAATAATAATATAGAAATTTATATAGCGCCTTTTGCCAAAGGATACAAGGCGCTTAGAAAAGGTTTATTGTAGGAAGAGGATTATTTAGGAAATAAATGAGCTTTTAAGAGTTTTTTGA